ATATCCGAGACAAAGAAAGGTTCATTTTTCGGGCTAAGTCTTCTCAAAAGACTTCTGTGATCGATGCTGCAGCCAGCGACCACGTTGATGTTGGCGATCTGTGCTGTCACCGGAAACCACACTGATGGACAGTGATCTGTGCTGCTGCCACAAGCCGTGTTGGTGTCTGTGAGCCATGCTGCCGCCGGCTTCTATGGGTAGGAAAGCGTCTTTTACAGTGGTATTGATGACTGCAGACTCATAACTAAAAATGAGTGATATTGCAGGCTTCTATGACAACACCCATCCACCATCCCAAAGAAGCAGTCCAGACATGAAGCTATCGAAGAGAGTCCTTAAAATCTGTGACAAAGATGCTGAAGTGTAGCTCCTCACAGTTGATGGATTCTGTGCACACACACCCCAGGTCGGGGGGCACAACACTAAATTCTCCTTGAGGGCTGGTCACTGGAGGTTGACCATGCTCCAGTGAGTATATGAGTAACACAGATTGGACTTGGTTTTTCTTTTGTGGGGGCACAAGTGTGGGAAGGTGAACCTGGGAGGAATGGGAAGCAAGTGTGATTGAGGTGAACTGTATGGTATTCCCAAATAATTAATAAAAGCATGATGTTGGAGGAGAAAAGAACTCATTCAGGAGTTTGTGTCTTCTATAAGCGTATTTTAAATTGTTCTTTTGGTTTTCTGGTCTGGATTTTCACTTAAGTTGTTCTTCTTAGAGGTTACTGGGTGTTAGAGATTTTTGGAGGAAACCCGTTGTCTTGGGTATTCATGTTGCTTGTGTTTTGTGCTGGGCTCTTCCTGTCTGGGGTTAGATCATTGGTTACGTTTTTGCTGTTGTAGCTCAGATAACCTTCCTCAAGTCCAGGAGCATCTAGATTGCGGGAGTGCTGAGAGCTGTTTCCACAGGGGTCTCTCTGCTGCAGTAAACCCACCCTGGATCCAGGGTAAGTGTTTGCCACCACACAGTCTGCAGTAAACCCACCCTAGATCCAGGGTAAGTGTTTGCCACCACACAGTCAGCTCCTTCGGTACCGTGTGTTCTTAGTATGCAAGGAACATTAAATATTAGTCTTTCTGTCAAACACCGTAAAGTTTTTGCTTCTGACAAGGAATTTAAATCTTTTTCTGTTCTCTACCTGATAAAGCTTTTGTTTACAGGGAGGCCAGGCTGCATTCTTGGATCTTGAGATGCCTGCCAGTTCTTGCTTTCTTTCCTGTCCTTTGTGCCAGTTCTTTTCAGACTAAGCAACCTTGAAAGGCTGAGGCTAGGGCTCAGCCAGGGGAAAGGACACGGTACTCCTGCATTAGGATAAAAGCTCCTGGGTTTCTCACTCTGTGGGTTTGTTCTGCTCCTGTGAGGTTGGGGCTCAGTCAGGGGAAAGGACACGGTACTCCTGCATTAGGATAAAAGCTCCTGGGTTTCTCACTCTGTGGGTTTGTTCTGCTCCTATGAGGTTGGGGCTCAGCCAGGGGAAAGGACACGGTATTCCTGCATTAGGATAAAAGCTCTTGGATTTCTCACTCTGTGGGTCTGTTCTGCCCCTGTGAGCTGCTTGCCCTTATACATCAAACTTTGCCTTGTCAAGATGCTTTTGTTGGATTGGTAGTGCTGTCTCCTGGACCCAGCACTGACTTCTAACAGGTGGGAAAGGGAAACCGGCTATTGTGTTTGCTAATCTCTTGGTTCATGGATCCGACTGGGGAGAATGAACAACCAGCAGCGAGAAATCACGGTGGGCTCAATGATCAGTGTTAGGTTGTTAGACAGGAAGGGGCAAAGAGGACGTTCCTAGCAGAAAGGGATGTCGATGTGGAACCAGTCTCACTCCTCAGAAGTTGAAGCATCAAGGCCTTACGTACCAGGAAAGGTAAACGGAAAGGAAAGAGTTTAGGACAAAGGGAAATAAAAAATGAAGAAAGAAAAGAAAGGAAAACCAGAAAAAAATACAAACCATATGACAGACTAGAGACTGGACAGACAGATAAGGAAAGGGACCCCTGATAGAGAGCAAAGATGGCAAGTGTCCAGCTTCATCCTCACTTCTCTGCAAAGACCCCCCAAATGGCTTTTTCCTCCCACAAGCTGGGACCTTGCGTCTGACCGGGCCAGGTGGACAGATTCGTTCGAGGTGGGTCCTCAGTATGCCCCTGAAGTTGTGGGTTCAAAAGCTCTCTTTTCCTTGTATAAACGGATCAATCAAAATATTAGGGCAAAGTATGTTAGTAACCGTTCTCTAGAGGAACAACTCAATCACACCCGAGAGCTGAGAACCCAGCCGTTACTCAGTCCTCAGGCACGCAGAGCAGCCCATGGCGGTGTCTCTCACTGAGATGGGAAATCCCAATCTGGTGCTGAAAGTTCAGAAGATTCCTGGGGAGCAGCTGGTCCCTAGGCCACTAGGAAAGCCTGGAAAATCTGATTCCCATGGCAGTAAAGGAAGCAACAGACACAGCAACTGGGCAAATTAACTCAGGCAGGAGAGGACAGGCCAATGCTGTTTTGGGCCACTCCCAGTTGGGAAGAGTCTTCCACATCCATCAGGGCGGTCAACACACTTCCTCCAGAAAGGCTCTGTGTTCAGGTGATTCTAATTTCTGGCAAATGGACATTTAATAGAACCATAATGGAGGATGATCCTTCTAAGGTCACCAAAACCACTTTAAATCCCAGACCTCCATAGGAAAAATGGACCGCCCCTCTCTGTTCTTCAGGAAATTTTTCTTTCTGTGCCCCTCCCCTTTTAATAAAGTTAGTTTCTGTCTATGGCTGTCTGCTGTGTCTGGTATTTTTATGTCAACATAACATAAACTTTCAGATCCTGGAGATCTGAATTCAAGTCTTCACACTTGGGCATCAAGTACTCCCCAGTCACCTTCTCCATAGGTTCTAAAGACAAACATTCCAATGAGCGAATCAGCAGATGCTATCTGTCTATATTTGACGGATGAAAAGTTTTGAGGGTTTACTTTGTTTTTTTATTTTTCTCTGGGACTAGAGAAACGTATCACCGGTTAAGATGCTTCTCTTGGAGAAGACCTGAGTCTGGTTTACAATATCCACATCCAGTGGCTTACCACCACCAGAAACTCCAGCTTCTGGGGATCCAGCACCTTCTGGCCTCCACAGGCACCCCACACACACATACATCATTAAAAATTTAAGTCATTAAAATGCATTATTACTCTTGTGTGTGTGTATGTGACATGTATGTGTGAGTGTGTTGTATGCATGGTGTGGCGTGATGCGTGCAGAAACCGGAGGGCAATGTTGTATCCTGAGTTCCTTCCACCTTTGGGATGGTTTGCAGGGACCGGTCAGGCCTGAGGGCACTGTCTCCTCCTTACCTGCTGGATTGGCCGTTGGACTTTATTATGACTGTGTTCTAGACAGAGTCCATAAAGGTGGGGAAATATGGCTGCAGGTACCTAGAGCAGGAAGCCAAGAGACCACAAGTCCGACCACATTCGGAAGGCAGAATGATGAAATCGGAATTTGGACGAGGTTATAAACTCTCTGAGACTGCTCAAGCAGTGTGCTTCCTCCTGCAAAGCTCCATTACCTGAAGGTTCCCCGCCTCACCAAGCAGCAGCACAACGGGGGACTAAACTCTCATTCAAACCTCACATCCACTGCTGAAGCACACTGACGTCTGTTTTAGTTAGCGTTGCTCTTTGGAACACTGTGACCAAAAGCAGCGCGGGGAGGAAAGGCTTCATTTGGTTTACACTTCCACATCACTGTTCATCGTTATTGAAAGAAGTCAGGAGAGGAACTAGAACAGGCCAGGAACCTGGAGGCAGGAGCTGCTGCAGAGACCATGGAGGGTGCTGCTCACTGGCTTATAGAATCCAAGACCACCAACCCAGGGGTGGCCCTTCCCACAATGCACTAAGTCCTCCCACATCAATCTAATCACTAGTTAAGAAGATGACCTAACGGCCTGCCTGCAGCCTGACCTTACGTAGGCATTTCTCAACTGAGGCTCCCTCTTCTCTGGTGACTCCAGCTTGTGTCAGCTTGACATGAACCAGCCAGTGCAACTTCCCAGGAAAGATTAGTTTTGATCAGGTGGTGTCTATGGCTTGTACACAAACAACAGCCTAATATCTGCCTTGTTTTTATAAAAGATTTATTTTTATTATTTTTGACTATGTGTAGGTATGTGTCTGCGTGTGGTTTTGTCACATAGTGCAGGTGCCCTTGGAGGCGAAGGGTGTTGGATGACCTAGAGTTGAAGTCATAGACCGTTGTAACCCCTGATATGGGTTCTGGAAACAGCTTGGGTGCTCTGAGGAGTGGCAAGTGTCCTTACCTACTGAGCCTTTTCTCCGGCGCCCCTACTATTTGTTTTGTGTTAGAAATCTTCTACAGTCAGGGAGAATAAATGACTGGAACACTTTTCATCTATGTTTTATCAAAGTCAAAATTAAAATCCTAACTCAAAGGATAAGAAAGAAAAAAAACAATAAAAAAACATACAAGGGGGCTGGAGAGATGGCTCAGAGGTTAAGAGCATTGCCTGCTCTTCCAAAGGTCCTGAGTTCAATTCCCAGCAACCACATGGTGGCTCACAGTCATCTATGATGAGACCTGGTGCCCTCTTCTGGCATGCAAGCATACATGGAAGGAATGTTTGATACATAATAAATAAATAAATCTTTAAAAAAAACATACAAACTTCCTGGACCAGCTATTATGAGCCAGAGACATTGCCATATTATTTGACCCAACATGGTAGTTTTCTGCTCCCCTCTGCCCTGATTTCCCATTTGGGAAGAGCTAAAGATGATATCATAATCACTGGCCAAATCAAGACTTGTCTCTACCCTAGCACATAGGCATATCCACTTGTATGTAGGTGCACACATGAAATGAACCAAAGTCATACTTCATATAACAGGTAACTACACTGCTCATGTTAATACACAATACACACTCTGCATGTATACTATGTATATGTATGACATACAGTGTAATAGCGATTTATTTGTGGGAGATCATTCAATTTGGATAGGCATAAAGATGATTACATCAGAGAAAAGAAAAAGAAAACCTGGATGAGTCCAACGAAGATGCCTTTGACTTGGCTGTCCCTTGTCTGCCCACAGGCTCCTGTGTTGACAGCTTTTTCGCTGGGTCATGAAGGTTGTGACTTACTTTGGTGGTGGACCCATCCTTTGATGAATTCCTAGTTAGGTGGGTCTGAGGGTCCAGCTTGGAGGAGGTAGGCCACCGCAGCGACTACCGTCACCTCTTGTCCCCATACCCTTCCCCCTCCTTTTCTTTCTACTTTCTGGGCTCCTCCACATTTTCCCATCATAATACTCTGCCTCATTCTTCCCCGAGGACGACAGAACCAGCAGACTACACACCGAAAGCCCCGGGACCAGGAGGTAAACAGCTCCTCCTGAATGATTTCTCTCTGTCCCAGCGACAGAAGCCGAGCGAGCCGAGTCGGGGCTATGTGGACAGAAGCAGGCAAAGAGCAGCATAGCACGATTGTAAAACGAGAATCAGCGCGGTGGGGAGATGCTGACGTGAGTGCAGCCGAGCGGAGCGGCGGCAGGTACTGTAAGCAGGGACTCCCAGCGAGCCGGGAGACTTTCTAGGCTAAGATGGGCTCCATCAACCGCATGTCCTCTATGCTATCGACATACCCATCTGCGTTACAATGGAACTGAACATAGTTGTAGTTTCTTATCTCTGTATATTTCTTTTTGAATTTCTCCCAATAGCAACTGAGTACTTTAACGGGAGTCTGAGTCCAGACATAGGAATTTTTGTAGCGATCTTTCCAATTGCTGCTCATGCATGTGTGCTCGACTTTGTACCATGGCATGTAAACAAATACGTGTAGGCTCTTGGGTTTCAGACCTTTCTCCGTCATGAGGGCATCACAGCCATATGAAATGAATTCTTTGTCTGTATTTAGGTGATGTTGATCCAAGAACTGCCGCCTGGAAGAGCTCTGTGCACGTGGGCTGTGCTGCAGGCACAGAAGGAGAACAAGCACACCCCAGGCCTTCAGAGAGGACGCCATAGCAGGCACCTGGGCCACCTACATGGGCACAGGGAAGAGGAAGGCAAATAATGAAATACTAACCTGTAGGCTGTATTCATGAAACACAATTTTGTTTTCTCAGAGATATCCCTTATTAGTAAAGTTAAATTTTGCAAATTTAAAAAGTATGTTGCAGACTGAGTGAGCCAAGAATAAAACTGCAAAAGAAGATGGAATTCATTTTGAAAACTCGAGGTTCTTCTTGTATGCCCTTGCTCCTTCACCACGGGCTCTTGTTAACTCCTCAGTCTAAAGGTCTTCTGAGTCTAAAGACCAACCCCCGCATGAAGACACAGGGAGAGTACTGCTTGGGAGACTCTGCCAAGCAGGAAAGTTCTGGGTCCCTGCAGTTGTAGCCCAGGTTGCCCGTCACACTGATTGCTCCGTGAAGCTTCTTCTCCTATCTTCACCCCCTTATAGCATTTCCCCCAAAACCTAGCGGAAACACAACCCCATTACAAACTCTTACATCTTTTCTCAGGAACTCGATCCCTTTGTTTCTTCCAAACCCCAAGATCTGTCAGAGGTACCTGCTGAACATGTCTAAAGGAACAGAATGTCTGAGGGTGTTGTTTCAAATCTCCAAATGCCAAGACTAGCTTCACGAGAGTGACTCTGGACAGAAGACAGGCTCCCATGTGTGGAAAGTCTGCCCTCATTATGTGAATGTACCTGGCCCTATTGACTCTTTTGTCTGATTCACAACCCTGACCTCGTATGGGCCTGTTAGACCTTTGAGAGTCACAAAAATGCTTTGGTAAACTGCATGAGGGTGGGGTCGGGTGGGAGCCACATCTGAGGGGTTATTGCTGAGCTGAGTTTGAGATCATATTTTCTCTGATTTGGGTCAGTTTTCATCCTTAATCCTAAAATGTCAGTCAATCTCTTTCCTATGATGCCTGACCTTTCAATCAAGCTTCCTATATACCAATCCTTCTAACTCACCTCGTCAGCACACACGTCGCTGGTTGCGGTGGGTACAGAGAGATGGGGATCTGAAGAACAGAGTCCCCGTCCTTTCTGGAGATCCCAAGAAGTCCAAAGTGGTAGAAAAAAAGGGATGACATTAGAAAGAATAGCTGGATTTGCGGAGGTGGTGGCATCTGGCAGGGTCAGGAACATCTTTTTATGCAAGCCTGTTCATATGTCTTCTCATGTGGAACAGTTGGGTTCACCCTGCGAATAGCCGTAAGCAAGGTCTGCAAACATCAAGGAAGGATGCCCAGGCACAAAGGAATTTCAAAGTGTTGGAGAGCGATGACCCCAGACGGGGGTTGTGGGTATACAACCAGAAAACTTTCCAACAGACTAGGGAAAGTCCATGAATGGCTAGGCCATATTCTACAGGGAGTTGGCATGGATGTGAACTGTGGCCATGCCACCAAGGAGTCAAAAGTGCAATGTGCAGGTCTGTGGGGATGAAGGAGCGTGCTTTCTATCGCTAACGCAAGGACAGCCAGTAGCTCAGCTGCGCTGGTGGGGTTTCTCTCCAGTTTGCCTTGGCACGAAAATGTCCGCATGCAGCAGTTTACGGTTAGAACTTGTTTCCAAAGCCAGGTGTGGGGAGGTATGCTGGGGGTCTTAGAAGGCCCAGTTATTTCAGGACAAGGAGACCTGGTCATGAGACAAAGGAAATCCACCCCTGGCATCTGCAGGATCCTGCACCGACAGACTGGGGCAGGGGATTGGCCCAAACTACATTCCACAATCCTCCTCTTCTCCAGCTATTCGAGTGACAGGGAGAGAACACCCAGGGAGAAACTGGGAGCACCTGGATTTGGATAACTTAGAGATAAATCTGAGAAAAAACAAAATGGCAATCATATGCGCAGCTGTCCAGAGCCCTTCCTAGCGTGTTTCCACAAACTATTCAAAACTTAAATGCAAGTAATGACTTGATGGATGTAAGAAGAGGGAAGGACCTGCTGAGAGGTTGCAGAAGAAGGAAGGAAGGAAAGAGGGAGGGAGAAAGGAAGGAAGGAGGGAAGAAGGAAGAAAGGATAGAAGGAAGAAGGAAGGAAGGGAGGAAAGAAGGAAGGAGGAGGAAGGAAGAATAGAAGGAAGGAGAAGGAAGAAAAGAGGGAGGGAGAAAGGAAGAAAGGAAGGAAGGAAGGAAGGAAGGAACGAAGGAAGGAAGGAAGGGAGGAAGGAAGGAAGGAAAGAAGGAAGGAAGGAAGAATTCTTTTTGGTGGTGCTGGGAGTTGCACCTAAGACCTCAAGCATGCTGGGGTGATGCTCTCGTACAGACCTGCTTCCCCAGCCCAAGGCATAAGTCTTTGAAAGCATCTGTCTTAGAGTATAGCACAGGGCTTCAGCAAGTTGCTCCACGAATTCTAAGAACGTGTGAGCATGAAATGAAGGCCTGTCGTCCGTATCAGGATCATGCGCATTCTGCCTTCTAGTCAATCCAATGTTTGTCAAATAAAGAATAACTCACTTTAAATGTGGAAAATATTTTCTACACATACACCCATAAATCCTACTCTGATCTGAAGCTGATATTACAAAGGCCACTTGGATACACAGCCGTGTTAGGAAGCAAACCAAGCCAGACTGGAGAGCAGCACCCCTGTCTATAGCTGGAGAAATGTGAAACTGCTGATGTGGCTCAGAAGTTACGGCAACCCTTATTTCTGGAAACTTCTTACAGGGTGTGTGCCCCCCCCCGGACAGGGTTTCTCTGTGTAGCCCTGACTGTCCTGAAACTCACTGAGATCCACCTGCCTCTGCCTTGTCAGAAACGCTTCGGCCAGGAGGCACCACATAGAGAACAAAGAAGAGACAGGCTGTTGAGGAAGGCGTGCATGAGCGCTTCCTTACGGCCTTCCCGGACACCATCCCTCCTGAGGCTTGGACATGTGGCTCCATTCAGTCGGATTGACTGTATCCACTTTGATAAGTCCGTTCTCTGGTTCCTCCTCAGTCAGGCCATGGTGGACATAGTCTAGTTTAACTAATCCCACAGTCTACGAGAAAGTCTTCAATAACTATGACTCCAGTTCAAAAACAGAAAATGGAAACAAACTAACAGGAGTAGCTTCCGGCCACGTCTGAGTAATGGGGGCTAGAACTGGAAACCAGCGGATAAGACAGGATGGAGTTTATTACTAAATTCAGCTCTTTTTCTGCTCTCTGAACAGCAGCTAGCCTTTCAATGCACCGACTGCACCAGCGATTCTGAAATCAGAATTTGGTTCATGATGCCTGGCATAATAAATTTGTACAAACCTTCTAGTCTGTAAACCCTGTTGCATTTGGAGAGTCAGTTGTCTGGGAAGTCAGAGGGAAATCTATCTGCTCGTAAGTGTATTTCCTGGCAAACCAGAGTAAAACCATTCCAAAGTCTAGTCCTGTCCTTCCATCCAGGTCATCGGCCTTGTCTCTGAGACTCACCTCTGACTTCATCATCGCTTCTTCGTGCCTATGGGAGGTAAGTACACAAACACCAAGGCCCCCGAGTCTTGCCTTTTTCCTGACTACTGTGGATAACCTGTTAATTGAAAGGCTAGCAGGTGTACGGCTGCACTGCTTAGGTTTGTGGGAAGTTTCCTCTACAGAATGAAGACCAATGGTACAGACAAAGAATGAGGGGAAATCGGGCTAGCTGATCTTGGTAGAGGGTCTCTGGAGGGGCGTGGTCTCAGGCTGCAGGCAGGCAGAAGGAGCTGTGGGAAGGAGCTATGGGTTGAGGGGGAATCGGGCTAGCTGACCTGGTAGAGAGTCTCTGGAGGGGCGTGGTCTCAGGCTGCAGGCAGGCGGAAGGAGCTGTGGGTTGATCTGTTCTGCAACATCAGAGCTCCAGTCACAGAAAACCTTTGTTATTCCTCTGAGCCTGGCCCAGGGAAGTCACTGCCACTCCTGTGAGTCTGAGGCATCAGAGTCCTTGACATGGTTGATCATGCTCACAGCAACAACACACTTCTGATCCTCACAATAGTGTATCTGTGCTGTGTGGCAAACAGCAGCAAAATCTTGAGCAGTACAAGATCAGGGGTTGGAAAGCCGGCATAAAGGTTAAGTGTACTTGTTGATCCTGGAGAGCAGTGTTTCTCAGCCTTCTGATGCTGCGACCCTTTAATACAGCTCCTCATGATAAGGCAACCTCCCAACCATAAAACTATTGTCCCTACTACTTCATAACTGTAATTTTGCTACTGTTATAAACCACAGCGTTAATATCTGTGTTTTCCGGTGATCTTAGATGACATGTGGGAGAGCCTCTGTCAGGATGGCTCTGATGAGCATTTGCCTCTGACCAGATGTGTGGTGACATACAGGACATGAGAGTTCACAGACTCAACAGGAACTTAAAGAGATCAAGGGAACACAAGGCCATGACACAGTACTTCAGCTGACAGCTCTTTATTACAATGAAAATGCAGAAAAATCTTTCAATTAAGGAAGGTAAAAAATCTTGGTGATCTACTATCTTTTTTGATATAGCATTTAAAAAATTCTTAGTAGCCACAACCATAATGAATAATACCAAATAACTCATATCTTTCAATTTGTCAGCATGTTATTTCCAAATTCTTGCTGGTTTCCCTAAGGATGACATTTAGGAATAACAGAAAACAGAAAGCATACATAATGAAGTAGGTAAAGTCCTGTGTGCGGAACAGGTTCAGTTGGATTTTTTTTTTTAAGATTTATTTATTTATTATATATATTGTGTTCTCCCTGTAGGTCAGAAGAGGGCACCAGACCTCATTACAGATGGTTGTGAGTCACCATATGGTTGCTGGGAATTGAACTCAGGACCTCTGGAAGAACAACCAGTGTTCTTAACAGCTGAGCCATCTTTCCAGCCCTTGGTTGGATTTTTGTCTGAGAACTTCCAATGTTTTTATGGTCTTCAAATTCTTTAACTCTAAAAGTTCTGAATAAAGTAGCCGAATAGGCATGGGGTAGGAGGTTAGGGCACTGGAATGAGACAGCTTGTACAAACAAGGCACTTTGTAATAGTTGAAATACTGTCTAAATACACGTGATGCAAGAATCAGAGGATACTCTGGGAGTCAGGCTGTGAGGAGAGGTTTCCCTCTTCTCCTGGATGTGAGGCGCTCAATACAATGGGTTATATTGGGTATGTGTGGGTAAATGGCATGAGCAATGGGGACCAAGCCCGAGGCCTTTGACACATCCCTCATTGCTATTGCAGTTACTAGCTGTAGCAGCTGCAGGATGACATCTATCTGTCAAAGTGCACCGGGACCTCTGGGTTACCCTCGCAGGCAATGACGACCCGCCTGATGCTGGCGCTTGCCCTGTATCTGCAGTTGGGAGCCCTAGAGCTCCCTGTCTCTCTGCAGTCTGTGACCTTCACTACACCCTCGTGACAATTCATCTGCCCATTCTTGCACTGGATACTGGCAGTACTGCAGATGCTACGAATGTTCCAGATGTCTTCGTGGATGAAGGTGTTGAAGCGTTTGCACTGGTGAGAAGTCATCTTCCGTCTCTGCATCATCAGATTGCAGTAGCTGTCACTGCCACCGGCCTGCTGAGAGTCAACATGCTGCCTAAGGAACCGCTGGTACATTCGGTCCTGGCCGTATGAGGGCTGCACGAGCCCTAGCCCCAGCAAGGCCAGTACCAAGAGCAGAAGCAAGGACTGGGTCCTGGACAGAGCCATCACAACCTAGAAAGGGCCTGAGAAGAAAGCAAAGACAGAAGGAAAGAGGGTAAAGACTGGGCACTGGACTACTGAGAACGGTAAAGTAAAATTTCTGAGCACCTCCCCTTCCCCCTTCCTTCCACTTCTGATCTACCTGCTTCTTTCTGCTCCCACCTTTCCCACACTTTTCTCTGAGAGCAAATGGTTTGGACTTCTTGAAAACGAGCATTCTTTTTGCTAAATGACAGGTGGTGTGGCCTCTAGAGCAAGTCAGGGCAGAACGCCTGGGTGGTCAGTTGTCCAGGTCAGTGTGACTAGGTGTTTTACAAGGAAAGGTGAATCTGCACAAACCTGGGGTGTGAGCTTTGTAAGAGCAGCAGCTGGTATGATCCTTAGGGAGTGTTTGGTGTTCTGGAAATTGCAATTCCCAACGGTGTGCATAGACTCGGGTCAAAGCAAGTTTCTGTATTGATTTGAATGCCCTATGTATAGGTCATGAGGAAGATAAAATAGAGTAAACTCCTTTCTAGCCTTTCCTCTCCTCTGACGATTTTGCTAATGGAGTAAATCACATGGTTGGGGGGAATCTTTCCACCCCCACTTCCTCTCAAGGCTCAGGAATCATCTGGAGCAGGGAGTGCAAGAATTGGAAGGCAAGAGATAACTACAGTGAAGCTGTGTTTTCTGGGCACAACAGGGAGCTTGCATATATGAGCTCACGAGCCAGAATCCCGGCCCGGCACGGAGTCCCACACCCAACTGAGGAGCTTTGGCCAGCGATATCGGCTTAGGGAGGAAGAGGAGATTTTCTGTAAGGATGTGTGACTCCTGGTCCATGCTCCGGAGGATAATCCCACACCCAAGAGAATCTGGGCAGAACAAGCTTGGCTCAATGAGATTAAAAAATAAAAACAGAGGCTGTGAAGTTGGGTGGGCGGGATGATGGGAAGGACCTGGGAGAGCTGGGAGAGGATGGTGAATGTGACCAAATCACGTCGTGTGAAACTCTAAAGAATTAATAAAATATTACCTAAACAAACAAAGCAGGACAATAAAGACATGGCCAGTACTTTTCGGCAGGAATGGCTTAAGGGCTGGCTATCAGATGCTGCCATCTGGTGGTCAGTCCTCAGATTGATTTGCAGGTTGACTCACAAGAGCAAAGTAACAGGGACATTTTTTTCATAGTCAAGCAGACTTAATAATGCAGGTACAGACCAAGAGCCGTGTCTTTCGGAGCTGGTTTGAGGTGCACAGATACACATGTGTGCTTCATCCTACCTGAAGCCTCTGCTTTGCTGTATCAAATGCAAGTATTACTCTTTAACAACCCCCCACGACTGTGCCCTGCTTCCGTGCCTCCAGGTATGAATTTGAGATAGCATTGCTACAGTTATTAGCAGTCCTGGAGGTCACTGAGGATGGCCCCTCCCTCCTGTTTCCCTGATACCACTAGAAAGGTGAACCTCTGCTTGGCACTCACTGGGCCTCCCAGTCAAAACAGTGAAATATCTGCCTCTGGGTAGAACAGATATTCTGCTCTCCCCTTAAGGGTAAGTTAATCCAGCCTGGCTTGTCAATCACCTGGTCAGGAGACCATCCTTCAGAAAGGCTGAGTCACCTAAAACCACACCTAGGAGATGTTCCTTTAATGAGATAGAGCAATTAACCTTCCCAGGAGGTTAACTGATCCACACAGGCTACTTTTGAAATTCTTTTCTGTGTGAAACCATGATTCTGGTTCAGTTAGAGTTGAGGTTTCTAAGAGAATTAAGGGACTTCATTAGGTAGCTGAGGACAAGAGCATGAGATTTGCCTGCCCCTCAGTGCTGACGGTCTCATAGAGGTTTGTGTTTGGGTGTATGTACGAGAAGCGGGGGATGGGGAGGATGTCTTTGGTGTGTTAGCTCTTGGTCCTAAACCTCTTTCCCCAAGGGCTCCTTTAGTGACCTATTAGTTAACAGACAACTAATTTTGAAAATTCCCATCTGCCTTGTCTGTAAAACAATTATCATCCTCAATGCCACAGAAAGATGAAGTCCCTCCTCCCGTTGATTGGCAGATAAAGAACATCTCTGTTTCTGTCCCTCCCCTCAAGGAGCAGCTGAGTAGAAAAATTAGAAAACACTAAATTTACTAGGAACTAGTGACTCTTCCAGACAGATTCTTAATGGCTTTAGAGACATCTTTATTTCTGCGCATTATAAATCAGAAGACATAGGTTTCAGATAGTTTGTGTTCCGGCCGCTGACAGTGACCACTGCCATTAGTGTTCTTGGGGAAGAGGGGATCAAAAGAACATAGAACCAACTCTGTGCCAGGGCCTGCTGGCTATTAACTGAAAAAAGACTCGTCTAAGTGGACAGGCAAGCCATTTTCACAGGCAACAACAATGTGTCTGAACCCTTTAGAGGCTCGGTACCGGCATGGAGGCCGGGGAGACCCTCCTCTGTGCTTGCAAATGGTGACCTGGAATTGAGAGATGCTTATTCTTAAGTTATTTCCGTAGGGGTTTCCGCCTGTCCCGCAGACAGCCTTGATGCCGTCCGTGCTGCCATGAACAAAGGTGTTGAGGTCCTTGCAGGGCGAGGTCAGGCCTCGCTTCCTCATTACGCTGTCACAGTATCTGTCGTCACGGCCCTTTGGCTTGGCGTCATAGTGCTGAGTCAGGAATTTTTTATACCTGGGGTCATTCTGAGCCAGAGTTGGTGGGGTCACAACCAGACCCAGCATGAAGACCAACAACAGGGGGCCCAGACTCACTGTCATCTCTTCCAACAGAGAATCCTGCCAAGAACAAAAGGTAGCAATGGTAGGGGTCATGGCACCACATTCCAATTTAGGCTAAAAGGGTGGAGACGTTTCTCTGTGATAGGACATTATAAATCAGTCGTCCGTAGGCATCTAATTCCATCTTTGCTTTTGCCTTCCTAGTGGCTCCATGGTCTACATCCTTCTCTTTCTTTTAGGATCACCGTCAGTCATAGCATAAATTAAAACTATTTATATCCTTAGCTACTCACTACTTAACTTGATAACAAACATCACTCAACTCCCTGTTGGGCCCAGAAACATGCTAGATCCTGAGACACAAAGACCTTTAAGATATACCAAGGACAGGGGCAGCGGTGTAGTTCCAGCTACTTAGGAAACCAAGGCAGGAGGATTGCTCAAGCCCCGGAGCTAGCTTGGCCAACACAGATGACTCTGCTGGGGTGGGGGGGGAGGAGAAAGAATAGAATAGAAATGGGGCACCCAGGGGACGCGATGGGACCTCCTGAGGTGAGGTAGACAGAGCCGCACAGGGACAGCCAATGCCCCAAGGCCACTAAGATGGCCTTCCGGGCAGTCAGGTGTGAGGAAAGCTGATGAGAGCAGCCGCCTTGGTGTGAGGGGGCAGGTCTACTTCTCCCAGAGGGCGGAGTTACTGAGCAATGTCTGCAGAGCAGAAAGGGGAACAACACAAGCTTGTGCTCCAGAGTGCCTCACTTCAGCGCTGCTCGGAAGATTCGAGAGAAGAGGAGCTAGTCTCCGCATGTCTGTAATATAGTCACACGGGCACATGATCTTACAGTGTGGCAAAATAAAATATAACAAAACAAACTGAGATCTCTTCATGAAGCCAAAGGGCTTACAGTCCACTGTTAGATCTCTCTGAAAAGGACAGAGGAGACCGCTGCCATGGTCTCTGGAGAGCTCTTGGCTCACCCTATACCACACACACCCATCACAAACCACACACCTTAGAGCCAAAGGTGCCTTCTGCTGGAGCTTGACCCCTTTATGGACTTTTAAAAGATGCTATTTCTAATGTAATTTGAAATTCTGAGAATCAAGAGGCATTAGGTGTTTGTGGCAAGCAGTTTTTGATAATACCCTTAAGTCTTTGAAAAAGAATGTAAAGATAATCCTGAGACCTAACAACCCTCCTCGCAGTGGGGCTGCAGAGATGGCTCAGCAGTGAAGAGTGCACTCTGCTCTCCCAGAGGACCTGAGCTCGGTTCCCAGCACTCACACTGAGCTCCAGCTCCCAGGGATCTCATGTTTCTGGCCTCTGTGGGCACATGCACTCTCTTACTGATACCTACCCACAGACACGCATGCATACACTTAAAATAATAAAAATAGTCTTTTTAAAAAGCACTATAAGAGCCGGGCAGTGGTGGCACATGCCATTAACCCAGCACTCGGGAGGCAGAGGCAGACAGAGCTCTGTGAGTTCGAGGCCAGCCTGGGCTACAGAATGAGTTCCAACACAGCCAGGATTGTTTAACAGAGAAACCCTGTCTCGGCAAAACAAAAACAAGCAATGAAAACAGCACTACAAGGAGAAAGTAGTTCAGTCGGAAATGCCAGGAACATTTAACAGCAGCAGCAAAAGTTTTGAGGTTTTTTTTTCTTCTTGGATACAGGGTCTTGCTATGGAGCTCATGTTGACCTCAAACTCTTGACTAAAAACTACCAAGACCAGTTAATGTAGTTCTGGGGAGATGGGGGCTGGAGAATTGAAAGTTCAAGGTCATCTTTGGCTCTATAGCCAGCTCCAGGACAGCCTGGGATATTCAAGACCTTGTCTGTAAATAAATATAAAGAATGTTACATCTTTCAGCCTGAAGAAATGTGTTATTGAAAGAGAAGATCAGCCCCAGGTAAAAGGGTTTTTTTGTTTTGTTTTGTTTATTTCTTTTTCCTAAAGTGTGGCACATTTTCAGCGGCATTAAGCTAATCATTAGCTTTATTTTGTGTTTCTCTCAAGTGTAAACCTGAACACTTACTTTTACCTCGCGTGTGTGTGTGTGTGTGTGTGGTGTGTGAAGGCGACCGAGGGTCCTGGCACTCAGCTTCTATGTAGTCTGTTTCTCGTGCAGGGTCCGGGAGGATAGCAAGACTCTAGGTCAGGGGGTCTAAGGCCCGACTGAGCATGTGAGAGACAGGTGACGGGGCGGGAAATTAGCTGTCTTTCTAATTAGCACCTGACACTAACCCACCCTGTGCGTTTCTTGATGATCGCAGACAAACTCCGTGTACGACTAAAGAACACCACATTTCCGGCTGGAGAGATGACTCAGCGGTTAAGAGAACTGACTGTTGTTCCGAAGGTCCTGAATTCAATTCCCAGCAACCACATGATGGCTCACACCCATCTATAATGACATCTGCTGCCCAGAACACTATAAACATAATAATAAAATTTAAAAAAAAGAACACCACATTTCACAGTATCGAAATAACAAACTTCCATTAAGCACGTACGTTATAATAAATTACAATAAAACGCGAGTGTGCGTCTTGTTGCTCATTGAGGAAAGATGGTGCCCGGGTGCAGAAGGGACAGCCACCCCTGAAGAATAGCCAGCGTCCACCCGCTGCCGCTGCTCTAGCGGAGCTGCCAGCTGCGGGACACGCGCTTGCTGAGCTCTTCGCATTGGTCTTGGGGTAATCTTTCCTGGATGTGGGTTGTTTTTTTTCTCCAAAAATTAGAAAGAGCTGTGTGGGGTGCTGCATGCATGCCTGCAATCGTAGAACAGGCACGGGGGACTCGCCTGGCTGCCTAAGTGAGATAGATCCACGCAGACCTAAACAGACGTAACAATAAAAGCTGCAATACTTGAACGACTCAGCAGGTGGCAGTCGTGGATAGGGATGCTGCCATTTGGCAACCACTGTCATCCTGTACTTAAAACTTTGCAAGAGTACAGATTGTGGGGAATATGAATCGGCAAGCAATCTTGCCAGGCTTTGGGTAGTTAGGACACTAAAACAAAATCCATAATGTGGAGGATCCAAACGCTGAGGATATCACAAAGCAGATATTTACCAGCGCTCAGGTTTCATGGCGGCTATCTCCAAAGCACATCGGTACTCACGAGAATTTGGACAAACAACCATTTACCTGACCGTATTTCCTGATGCTGTATAACCTACGATTGAGCGGGATCCGTATTCTTTGCCTTGAATCATAGTGCTTGTGCATGGCAGACTCTCAGTATGACCCGTGATTAATTTCCCTTCCCTCTCCAGGCCAACGGTACCAATGGAAGAAAGAGGTGATGGGGTAACCTTGGCCCAATCTCTGAAACACATCTCCACGAAGGTTGTCTGTGTAAGACCAGCCGTGTATAGACTAACACCATGCCGTGTTTCACCTCCTAAAAAGACACTTGCCTTCTTGACTTTGAAACCACGCAGGCTTGGTGGCCAGGTAAAGGGCTTGCTTGTTTCTAACCTGCAGAAATCGCGCATTAATTTTTTACCAATTCACCTAACAGTTCTCGGGCTTACTATGTATAACTTCATTTCTCTAATGAAGAGACAGAATCCCAGCAGTACACCTGGAGCACCGCTGTGTACTGTCCACTCCCTTGCAACTGTCTCACTCGCGTATTTAACTCTGAATTTCCCCTTGGCAGGTGAAACTGCGCAGAAACAATGAGAGCTGGATGATCTGAGGCGCGGATGTGAACCGTCAGGCCAAAGGGCCGAGCCCGGTCAGAACCCAGCGCGTGACGGCATTCGGACTTCTCCAGACTCATTTTACCCGCTCTTAAGCTGATCCTGCAGTCCTCACAGAACCGATGCTCTCTTTCCTCCCCACTGGCAGGGCTTTGTACCAAGAGACGGAGCAGGGCTGACCCTACAGAGCAACCCTTTCACAGCTATGCCCTCACTCCCCTGTGTCTCCCTAGCAACGCTTGCAGAGGAAGTCATAGCAACAATGCCTAACCTTTTTTTGACTCCTCCCACCTTCCTTCCCCCAATCTACTGTCTTTTGATTTTGGAATTCATTCCACTTGTTTCCAAAGGGCATCCATAATTTTTTTTTTTTTTTAAAGGAAAGACGCACAGGGAACTGCCAGAAGCAGTTTGGGGCTCCTCTCTTTATTCCTGCCAAGCCACATGCTTGCTCTGGAAGGTCAGCACAAACCCACACCTTGGGAGATTTTGTCAAGCTGAGCATCCCATCTCCGCCCTCACCTCCCACACCTCCATCTCCTGCCTCTCAATCTCATTCATTACCTTCACCCAGAAACAAACTTTCTCAAAAGAAACCTGCTTTCATTTTAACTTTAGACTCTGACTTATTTTCTTTTTAAAGCATGAGGTTGTGCCTAGAAGTCCTAAGGCGGGATAACTGGTTTCTTTAAATAGATGAATGGCTAGAGGGAGTACAAGGGAGAAAAAATAGAACAGTAGGAGGCAGAATCTTACAAAAGTTGGCCAGCTTTCCTCCAACTGGAGATGAGTCCAGATGTTTGCTCCTGGAGACCAGGTCCAGCACTGTGAAGCAGAGGCGCCTCTCAGTCTGGTTATATGCAGGGCTGTGTGAGGGGGCGGGGAGACCGTTTCTAAGGACCCACTTTGTCAGACACATGTAAACAAGAACACCACTAGGGGACAAACAAGGGGTCATTCACCTTTTCCTGGGCATGACCGGGTCAAACATTAACCGCTTGGTGGGGCCGATGTTTGCTCAGAGAAAACAATGTTTGCTAGGCATGGCCTTTGTCCCAAAGCCACCTCTTTCCCAATGCCCATGGTCTTTACCCTTCCCATGGTGGGACTGAGGTCTCATTCTTCATATGGTATGGAATGATGCAAAAACATGTTATCTCTGATCTTAAGGTCAACTTCAAGAACCACTTTGGAAGGAGTCCAGAGCGAGGAGTGAGGCAGCTGTGTTCCCCACCTCCTTCCCAGCATTTCCTGGGCTCGCCTTCCTGTCATCCATCCACAGGAGAGAGAACCTGACTGCCAACCTGTTCTCTAACCACGTAAAGAAGGCGTTGTGTATCTCTGCTCTGCTTCTGAGGAAGGACCATGACTAAGCAGTATTAGATAAGTCAGATTTCCTCCGCCCACAAGGCACACAGGGAGGGAGCAGAGAGTTCACGGTAATTGTTATGTATTCATCTTCAGGACTGGACAGAGGGCTGAGCGGTTACAGGCACAGGCACAAGTAGCTCTTCAGAGGATCCAGGCCCAGTTCTCAGCACAACCACCTATAATGATACATTTTTCTGGCCTCCCTAGGTATGGCATATGCCTGGTACACAGACATACTGCAGGCAAAATACCCCCACCCAGAAAATAAATAAGTATATAAATGTAAAGAATTTTATACATTTATCTTCCGTGTAGAGCAGGACTGAAACAGTTTAGCTTTGTCAGATTCTAGATTATGCTCCGTCATTCCATGTAGATACTTGTGTGCAGTTTAAGCTGCATTAATTTCTAAATAAGTAGGGGGAAACCACCTACAGGTTGACAATGAGGGAGGAGATATGCAGGCAAGCGACAGAGCATCTTTCCCCACATGAGAACCCTGTTGGGGCATGTCAGCATCTTCTCCAGACTCTCTCAGCGGGGCTGTTTCTCTGCGTAGCAGGTAGCTCAGACAGGAAGGAGGAACACGGGCAGCCTCAGGACCCAACTTTCAGGCATGCTCACACTTGGCCTTGGGTGGGAAGGTCTGGCTTTACTTCAGGTTGGTGTAACTGAGAAATCAGGCAGCCAATTTTCCTCTGAGGGTTAATCTTGTTGTCTCTTCATTAGGTGGACCCTTCCCAGAAAAGAATATTTGTTTACTCATTTCTGTATTCTTCGTGACTTGACACCTAAGTCCCCATCAACTGACCTAGCTGTGCAAACTCTCTGCGCTTCTATTTAAGGTTCAGAGATGCGAGATTTTGTAGCAGTTATTAAATAAAGCTTGATCTCTAAGTAGAGCAATGTCTGGCTAGGAAGGCTGGCTGATACTCACCCTGGGGACTGATGAGGCCATCCGGGTGTGGTCATAGGCCTGGGAGTGCTCTGTTCTTGTCTGCAAAAAGTTGCTGAAGTTGCCTGATTTGCCTTTGCCAACCAAGTATTGTTCACAACTACAGTATAAAATCTCTAGGAGTATAATCTTGTAAAAAGCTCATGCTTTTAATCCAAGCACTCTGTGAGTTCGAGACCAGCCTGGTCTACAGCACTAGTTCCAGGACAACCAGGCTATACAGAGAAGCCCTGCCTCAAACAAACAAAGAAACATAAAGAATGCGCACATCCCGAAGGGACGTACAGCCCACGAATGGGGTCTGACAGCTTGAGAAGGCTCGGCGGCGTGGGGACCTGGAAGGAACCAGCAAGCTATGCAGCCTGCCCTCTCTCTGCCCTGGTGACTCAAGGGTGCGAGAGTCTCTGGAAAGGACGGAGCAAGCACACACTGCCCTGCCCATGAGACAAGTGCCAGACTTTGCCAAAATGTGAAGTGTTTCCAAAGTACAGAGAAGCAACAGCCCTGGGACCTTCTGGGCGAGACCCATGCTGCTAGGAAGGGGGGGTGTGGGGGCACCGACGTGCTCAGTGTGCAGGAATGTTGGTGCCTGTTTTAAATTAATCCCACATCACTCTTTAAACAGATGTGGAAGAACTGAATTCTGGAGTCATCAACCACTCGTTTGTTAAGAACAGCCAAGGGCATTGCAACACCCCGATGGCCTCATCACTCCCTGGAGGGTGGGAGGAGTATCAGCCAACTCCCACAGCCAGGGATGACCTATCAGCGAGGCCCTTCCCTGCTAAACAGTCACAAAAGCAGACACTTGACCCTAACTCGCAGCACACACACAGACACACAGTCTGCTAGTCTCACACACCGCCTTGCCGGACAGACAGACCAGTCTCTCTTTCAGGAGCTGTGGTAGTGTGCTGAGCAGCCAAATGTCTCCTCTGAAGTCGCTGGCCCTTCATCTGACAACTCAAAGGATTGAGAACCTGCTCAATTCCCTGACAAAAGCCAGGCCATTTTTTTTTTTCCAACTTGGCACATATTGAAACAGAAATGGGTATTTTTAAAAGTTTTGTATTTTATTAAGATGCAGGTATCATAGCCTAGGAATGATAAAGGTGTGTGTGTGTGTGTGTGTGTGTGTGTGTGTGTGTTGCTAGGGCTCAGATCCAGGGCCTTGCACATGCTATGTAGACTACCAACTGAGCCACATCCCTGGGCCTGAATATTTTATCTTTGTCAGTAATTTTAACTCATATGAAACAACTGCCGATTTAAAAAAGTAGTATTCATTTAAAAAGTTTTAACCAACCAGGTAGTGGTGGTGCATGCCTATAATCTTAGCACGTAGAAGGCAGAGGCAAAGGCAGGTGGATCTCTGTGAGTTCAAGGCCAGCCTGGTCTACAGAGCGGGTTCCAGGACAGCTCCAAAGTTTTAACCTCCTGAAAACCATTCTCCTTTCCTGGAATTTTTACTCTCTTCTCCAAGCCAGGAAGTATCCATGGACACATGAGGCATGAAATTCTCCCTTTAGATAGAGAGTATGTTTGATTCTGTTCTTCGGACTCATTGTAGGATCAGGTGGGGAAGGTATGAGAAAATTATGTAAATTCCTTTAAATGCTTAACACTTAATCAGCGATAGAAGTAGCCTAAAAGAGAAAACTCTCACAGGACTAGGACTTCAGGAAGTGGGGACTCCACTGGTTGAGGCAGAATGGGAACAAAGTCCTGAAGACTTCCCTGAATCTCCAAACAAGATACAAATTAAACATTTACTTTCCCATACACTGGGCTTTGGCCTATTCCCGACTTCCAGTTATTCTCAGAATACCCTCTTTAAACAGAGATTGCACTCTGCTCAAGTAAAGATATGACGGGAGATCTCGAGAGATGTTTACCCAGCCTGCGTCAGTGCACTTTTTAATCCATGTTTGGAGTCACACTAACAATGCCGCCACTGGAAGGCTCCACAAACGTTCCGTGGGACGCAGAGAGAACAGGATGAGAGGGAGGCTCGTGGGAAGCTCTGCCCCCCACAGAGCTGAGACCCTGATGACTTTGGCAGGCTCTTCTCTGACCCTGACCATAGCCAGTCCGCTTTTTTTAAACACCCGGGTTAAACTACAGGTCAAGTCCACAGTATCCGAACCCGTGTTACCGACATCGCACCAGCCTGTGCAATCAAGAAGGGAAGCCTGGGATGCTCCCAACTTTCATTTTACAGATGTCGAAATTAAGAGCAGAGAAAGGGACGTTAATTGACCAAGAAACTTTTTACATTCCTGTGACGGAATGATTTCCAGAAAAATCAAAACTAACTTTTAAAATAATACTAAAAATTAGTTAAAGGAAACCAACACTGATTATTTCCATAAATCTCCCAAATGTTTGAGTTCCCCTTTCATCAGCAAGGAGTTTCTTGAATTAAAGTCGCTGGCTCAACTCGGAGTGGCGCGACACTTTGAATAGCTGCAGGGCTTTCAGGAGTTGGCCAGGGCCTGTTCAGACTACTGAGCTTTCTAGCGAGTGTGAACTACAGTAAAAACTGCTGTCGCCGCAGAGGAAGATCCTGGCCTACTGGAGAAGTCCCCATTAAGGACGAAGATATCGCACAGCCACGGTTTGATGTGCTGTATAGAGCGAGAGAATCCCAGCCGTCCAGTGAGAAGGCACGGACGGAGGAGGCTGTTGACACTCGTCTCCAAAAGTTTCACAACACTCTTAAGGGTGAGTTACGGGCGGGAGACAGGAAATAGAAAGTGAAAAACACCAGTCCTCAAATGTTAAGTTACGCGTGCACAATCTTGACAGGCTTTTCCCACAAATCTGATTCCAACCTAGGAACCCTCAGGTCTTCCTTATCTGAGCGAACGCACGCGGGGTTCCTGGCACTCTTCCTCCCTTCGCAGATTCTGTGGTCCATTCTCAGCCTGGGTTCTATACTCTGCCAAGCTGGAAAGGGAACCGTGGAAAAGGGATCGCCAACTCTGGCAGGAGCTGATGCCCGCCACACCTCAGCTCCGCAATCAGACCCGAGAAGGGGTCCCCCAAGATCCCCACAACCGCCCCTGGATGGAAACTATCTCCATTGTTTGAAGTAGAAATTCACCTGGGCGTGGAACTGTGGAGGCGGCGGCTTTGTTTCTCACCTTTTTTTCCTAGTGGGATGCCGAATAGGAGACCTGCAATTTCCCCTGTAACTCGTCCGGGATATGGGTGAGGTCGGTGTGGACCGGCCACGCAAACAGATTGGGGCCGGGTGCAGAGGAGCGGAGGGTGGGCGTTCCAGGCTCGGTGGCTGGGACCGCACCCCATCTCTGCAAGGACGCCCCTCCCCGCTGGGCAGAGGAACCAGACTGGCAGGCGTCCCATGTCCCGAGGACCGCCACGAAAACTACCAGCCGTAGATGCTACAACGATCGAGGGGGACCCCGGGAGGTTGGAGGGGAGTGGGGGCTGCAGAACCCAAAGCGGAGGACCAGTGTGGGATCCGCGCAGGATCCAGACTGGCAGATGTCCTGAGGACAGCCACGAAAACTACCAGCCGTAGATGCTACAACGATCGAGGGGGGCCACGAGAGGTTGGAGAGGAGGGTTCTCCAAGAACCCAGAAATCTAGAGCTGCCGACGGACTTTTCTTTTGAACAGATGCCGGTGGTGCGGTTCTCTTTGGCGGGATGGTCAGAGCAGGAGATTTTGTAGATAAGTTCCAGTCAGTAAAGAAAGGAGGAGTAAAATTGGGCTCGTCCGGGATTTGAACCCGGGACCTCTCGCACCCAAAGCGAGAATCATACCCCTAGACCAACGAGCCGCGGTGCTTCAAGTGGGCTTACACTCTATCCATCCCTCGGCACTGAACAGGCTGCAGGACGAGCCAGCGGTCTCTTTTCTCGTTTTTCTTCTTTCGTGCTATTTAATTTCCACCCCGTCTTTCTCAATTCTCACCTGTGAATTCTGGACCTATCCCCTCTTGTTCTCTATCCACGTCCCTGACAACTCCAGGCTCAGAATGGGATCAGAGGAGGTAGCTTTTCAGATTTCAAGTCACACGCCTGTTTTTCCAGGCGCCCGAAGCAAGCCGGGTTGGCTCTGCCCGCTCCGGGTGGAGCTCAGCCTCCGACTGGCGCAGGACGTGTTCTGCAGGCTTGCGACCACCGTTACTTGCAGCCGCAAACCTTGCAGGCGGCCAGCGAAGCCGGAGGAGAACAGGAGAGAATCCTGCAGACCCTCGCAGGAACAGGAATTGCGTTTTCAGTCTCATTTCCTTTGCTTAAAGGAACTTTATAATATATATATATACCCATCTGAACTTTATACTCTTCCACCTCATCTCCGCCTCACGACAAATGCTACACAAATACCTAAATGAATAAAAGCGCTTTTCTGCCAGTTAATGGGCAATCACCGCAGTCAGCTATGGGTTTTGATCAGAGCACTGAAAACGTGCACACAAGCGGGTTCATAGGTTCTGTACTTTGGTGCCTGAACTTAGGACATAGGGCAGCAAATTAGGCTCAGCTAGAAACTAAAAATAAATCAATAAACCGAGAGCCGGGAGCGAAAGTCCAGGACTTCCTTTTTCCCACTGACTCTCACAGGACCAGCGATTGTTGGCGGTTCTGAGGGTGGTAGTGAGAAAGGAGGACTAGAGTTTACTTCCGGGGGAAGGAAGCACAAAATACAGGCTATTCCTTCGAGCCGGAATCGAACCAGCGACCTAAGGATGGCTGTTGCTCACACTACAGTCCTCCGCTCTACCAGCTGAGCTATCGAAGGTAAGCACGCAAAGGCTTATTCACAAAGCGGTATTCAGTCTTCATGCAGCCACCTCGCTGCGGGGACGGGGTCCAGGGACGGTTCTCGGTGTCTGGGGACTGCAGGAAGCCTCTGTCCCGCCTCACCGCGGCTTTCCAGACGCTGCCAGCGCTCCGTGGGTGTCCGCCTACGGGGTGGGTGCATGCATGCGTGCTGTGAAAGGTGGGCGAATGCACGCGTGCGGTGAGAGGAGGTGCGTGCACGCTTGCGGTGAGAGGTGGGCGCATACACGCGTGCGGTGACGCGGACGCCAGAGAGCTGAGAACGTGCGCCCGGACCCCGAGGCATCCCGCGCACCCACTCTGCGGGCGGGACGGCGTGGGATGCCACGACAGCTAGAAATTCCACCCAGGGACTGGAGGCGAGGCTTGGTAGCGCGGTTCTCCAACGTGAGATTTTCCAAGTTCAACCTCAGCTCCTAAAAGTAAACAAACAAACAAAAAAACCTCTTCTTGGAGAGAAAGCATCTTTTAAAAGGAAGCCATAACCACAGACTCTTTGAGTTCATATCATGGTTTGGTGACCAACGTCTCACCTCCAAACCGCGGCGCTTTATTTGCTGCGCGACGGTGAAGTACGGAGATTCCGAGGCCTCCGCTTCTGTGCGGACTTGGCCTCCCCGCACAATCCCCGGGGGGGGGGGGGGGGGGCAGTCCTCTCTCCCTCCCTCTTTCCCTCCCCCTCGCACAGCACGCCCGGGATCAGCCCTCCCATCTCCCGTTCCACACCCGTGCGCAGCACGCGTCACGCGTGGCGGACTGTCCGCTGAGCGCCCCAGGGAGAATCAAAATAAACAAAAATATCTGTCGGTGCAGGCCCCAGCGAGATTTGAACTCGCGACCCCTGGTTTACAAGACCAGTGCTCTAACCCCTGAGCTATAGGGCCACACGGAAGGTGTCTCTCTTTCTTTCTTAGAAAAGGATAAGTTCGCTGGCTTCTTGGCTGCCGGACTGTATTTCCTTCATGCCATTGTCATACACGGTATATTCCCGTATACATTCCAATCCCATATACAGTATGGGAATTTAGTCTACAGACTCTGGGCTTGTTGGAACTGGCACAGTAGTGGATTCTGATGGGGATCACTACTCCGATAAATTTGAAGAACTACCACCACCACCATCACGGAGTCCTCCTCTCGGGCTTCCTTCTGAGGATGAAATTCAAAACAGAAATCCAGCGCAAAGAAATAAGTCTACCACAAGTGTGGCTGGAAACGGACGCTTCCATATCTGAATTTTCTCCTGGACTCCAGACTTCCGCTGCTGCCTCTTAAAAGATCCTTCCCCTCAGCGTCAGCACAAGCCAGCGCCAGGTTGTCTTTTAACTCATTCCTTCATTCAAGAAGCTCCGAATTCCAATTCTGTGCTAGGTTCTATACTAGAAAACTAGACAGGGATTCAGCCTCTATCATTAGTAATTTACTTCACTGATAATTATTTTATTTCTCATACTTCTTTGTGCACCACGTGGGTGTCTAGTGTTCATGGGAATTTTTATGAAACCAAAGTTAAAAGCAAGTGTACCATGTGTAACTTGCAAGTAAGCCATTTGGAGGGCCCTTAGAAGGGGTGGGCTAGGTCTCAGGACAGGGAAAGGCTGAGATTTGTACAATCGGGGGTGTGGGGTATCAGACGGTTCTTGGCAAAAGAAAATTATAAGTAAAGTTCAAGAAAGATCAGAATATTTAAGGGTACACTGTTAGAACATGGTTGGTCCACCCTCCTCGAAGGGACAAGAGCTGAGATAGTTAGGAGACAGGAAGGATGTTAGACCCTTTGGAAAAGAAAAAGCAAAAATTCACCAAGCATGGAATGCAAAGTAAACGGAAGGGAGCAGAAACTAGAGAGCCGGGACACCAGAGTCGGGAGAGCTCATGGCAGTGGCAGCTGCGGACTCAAAGGAAAGAAAAAAGACACAGACAGGGAAGCGAAAGTCTGCTGCTTTAAATACGGTGGACAGAAAGGAGAGGAGACGCCCAATCATACCTTGATACTTGTAAAAAGAAAAGTAAAAAAAAGAAAGCCACATTTTCAGCATATCTGGAAAAGAGAGAGGTGCAGAAATATCAAGGTTCGGGTGGGATAAACATGAGGTGCAGGGAGCTCTTCACCGGACACGCCTGTGTTTAGAGTCCACCAACTAAGGTCATGCTGAGACTAAATTACGTCTGGGAGTAGAGCTGAACAGTAGAGGTCTTTCCTGAACTGCAGCGTCTTGGGTTCAATGTCCAGGATCACAAAAAATAAATAAAATAAAATAATAAAAGTTGAACGGAATAGTAGCTTTCACCTGTAAACCTGGTGGTAGGGACTGGGACCTGAGACTCCTGAGATCAAGGCAAGCAAGGCAAGGACGAACAACATAGCAAGACGCTGCCTTGGTCAATCAAAAAGGAAAAATTAACTTTCCAAAAGGCTACTTTCTGTTTAAAATTTTTTTTTGCTTATTTTATGAATGGGTGTTTTGACTCCATATATGTTTGTGCGCCACTTGCATGCGTAGTGCTAGTGGAGGCCAGAACCTGGGACCCTATCCCCTGGCACTGGAGTTACAGACAGCTGGGATCCATGTGGGGCCTGGGTTGCTAATGAGGTGCTGTTGTTTAGGTGGGGTCTGTATGTTGTCCTGGCTGGCCTGGAACTCACAGAAATCAGTCTGCCTTTGCTTCTGCCTCTATTACACCTGACTCTACAATCAATGTGCTTCTCTTTAGAACATTGATCTGGGTTTGCATCTGTATGGGGGTCTTTGAGTGCCCCAGCTGGAGTGTGGAGTCAAGACCAACCTTTCACCAAGTGAATGCCAGGGATTAAAAACTTCAGTCTACAACCCATCTTGCCACCCCCACCTCAAATTTTTACTATTATTTATTGTTGTTGTGTTTGTGTCTGATACGTTCGAGGGAGTCAGAACAACTGAGTGGAATCAGTTTCCTTTCCATCTTTCTTTACATGAATTCTGGGGTCCAAAACTCAGCTTGCTGGGTAAGCAAGCCAAGTACAGACTCACCAAGTCATCACAATGCCCAAAATTTAAAATAAAATAGAGAACTTTGAGTCCCGCAAGTCACCCACTACGTTAGCACTTTTAAGATGTCTGTGGGGTTGGAGAGGTTCATCGGTTAAGAGCACTTGATACTCTTGCTGAGAACCCAGGTTCAGTTCCCAGCACACACATGGTGGCTCACAACTGCTCTAACTCCAACTTCAGGGAACCAGCCATCTCTTTCGGCCTCTGAGGGCTCCTGTGCACACTTAATACACATATTCTTGCAGGCTCACACATGTATCCATAAATAAAAAGATAAATATCTTTTTTCTGTTATGTACTCTTGAAGAAAGATGGTAAAAGTGCCACTGGGAGAATCTCTGAACTGGGTATTTCCATGTTCTTGGCATCTTTCAAAGAACAAGACACCTGTGCACACAGCAACAGTAACTCCC